ATAATTCCCTTATTTTTCAACCAAAAAGGATGGGATTCAGAACATAGATAGACATTATGGGCTCCTACAATAGTATATGATCATGATGCACATGCATGCACGTGCGTGCACGTGAAATGAGTAAAATTACAAATACACTGTATTAAACATATTTTTAAATACGTATGGAATAAATGTTGTAATATTTAGTATATTAAAATATACGAATAGTTTAGACAAGATGATATGGTCATTACGCACATGCATTCAAATGCGAATGCGTGCAATGCTGAAATTTGAATAAACTTGATATACTTCTGGGTAAATAATGTTTAAGTCTAAAATGCATCGTGTTTGTCTTATTTAATTGTCACCGGGTTCACAGGTGCGTGAAAGTCAGTCAATATATCGGGTCTCAATAGCTCAGTTGGTTAGAGCGCTGGCACGGTACGCCAGAGGCCCTGGGTTCGAGTCCCGGTTGAGACTTGACTTTTCACCACCTGTGACATTTGGCGCCTAACGTACAAAACCCACTATTTCCTTGGAACATGCCTCACAGCATTTCCTTAACTCGTAGAATTCGAGGACGAATTTCTACAAAGAGGGGGATTATGTCACCGGGTTCACAGGTGCGTGAAAGTCAGTCAATATATCGGGTCTCAATAGCTCAGTTGGTTAGAGCGCTGGCTCGGTACGCCAGAGGCCCTGGGTTCGAGTCCCGGTTGAGACTTGACTTTTCACCACCTGTGACATAATGAAGCGTACAAAGAATATGCCACAAAAGGGAGATGGGGAGCGTTTGGGGAACATCTGTAACGGTTCCCGTTACAATTAGCCCTAGTTATTATTATTCTTTTTTTTCTTCTTTGTTCTCCGGTACTTTTTTTGTCCGCGAGTGTTCTCAGAAACTGTTCATCCAACTAAGTTAAAACCTTTTTAGGGTTAATAGGTGTCAAGTGTAGGTGTGCACAACGAAGGTCATTTTGCGCGCTTACGCATGCACGTGCGTGCGCGTGAAATGAGTGAAATGACTGATATACTTATTATAGCCATAACTTTTACATTTTTTATTGAAATGCTTTGAAACTCATTCTATAAGGATATATTAATAGTCTAGATAATATGACATGGTCAAATTAGCACGAACTCACGTGCATGCACGTGCGCTTCCCTCTGATTGGCTGAAACAAAGATTTCAATATCTCTTTTGTTTTTTGACGAAATGCTTTGAAATTTTAAACACAGTCATGCATTAGGATATACTACAATATAATATATAGCAGGTATCATGAAAACACGCGCATGCACGTGCGCTGCAATCTGATTGGCTTAAACTTTAAATGGGTATAACTCCTTTGATTTTCAACCAAACAGGATGGGATTTAGAACATAGATAGACATAGTGGATTCCTACAAAAACGTAAGGTCATCATGCACATGCATGCACGTGCATGTACGTGAGATGGGTTAAATCAAAAATACACTTGATGAAGCCTATTTTTTAATACTTTTGGATTAAATGCTTTATTATTTTATTATATTAATGTATATAGATAGTGTAGACAAGAGAATATGGTCATTACGCACATGCATTTACATGTGCACGCGTGCAAATGCTAAAATTTGAATATACTCGGTATACTTCAGGGAAACGTTGTTAAAGTGTAAAATGCATAGAGTTTGTCATTTTTAATGAAGCTTAAAGGGAGTATGGCACCAAAAGGGAGTTGGGGAGCGTTTGGGGAACATCTGTAACGGTTCCCGTTACAATTAGCCCTAGTTTGTATTGATATGAAGAATCCTCAGGTAGTTCAGTGTTTTCCCTTTAGTTCAAAGTAAAGGGTTAGAGATCAGTTGTAACAGGCAAGGGGCTGAGGTTTATGAACAAAATTTCTGTAGACCTAACAACAAAATTCTTATTTCAAAGGGGCATTTTTGTCAGTTGAAGCGGTCAATTTGGCCGGTAGCGGATTCATAGGAAAAACACTGGTGTTATGCAGTGTAGATTGAAGTTTGTTTGAAGCGATGGAAGAAGAGTAGCACCACAAAAGAGGAAAAATACAAGGAAAAATACAAGAAAAAAAAAACTTTTTGTAATGAATATCTGCATGATTACTCATGTTATAAAATAAAATGAAAGAACCATGAGGTAGTATGCATACATGTTTGTTCAAATCATGGCTTCTATGATAGGCTGTGGCCTCTTACCTGAAGACCAACAGGGCCAAGGTGATGAAGGTGAGCAGTGTGGCCCATGAGCATCTGTTATGTTATACTTTGTAACCAGGGAACATCTCCTATTTATCCTTTTGCAATAAGGTTATAAAAAGTTACAGTACAGTGACTACAAATTACTTTTAAAAATGATGTAATGAATTCAAAGTGAAATTTTTCTTAAGGACTTGTAAGGTATAAACCTGGTTAGAATACAGATGCAGTCTTGTGTCATATATGAAATCTGTAGAAGGCGCCTATGGAAAAAAAATGCTGATATACATACCCGGTACCTTCATTTAGTATAAAATCTGCCTCAAATGAGATTGATAATTAACTGTAACAAGCCAGACAGCAGGCTTAAAACAGGCAAACAAGCCAGTCGAATTTATGATTTAATGCATTAATCTGAACAGAAAAATATGACTTGTTTAAAATGAAAAATGAAATGCTTTGATTTTTTTCTTTTCCAGCTCATTTCAAGATGTTTTGCCATGGTTGCCAACAGTCGCAGCATGCATAATGGACCAATATACGAACTGCGGACCTACAGCATTTACCCTAAAGACTTCAAAAGCTTTATCCAACTGTCAGCAGAGCACCTGCATTTAAGAACCAAACATTCTAAGCTGACCGGGTACTGGATCAGTGAGATAGGGGGAATCAGTGATGTTGTTCACATTTGGGAATACGGTAAACTGCATACCAGGTCTACAAAAAAACTTTTATATTAATTAAATGTATATTATAGAACCTGAAGCAGATATATACTTTAACACGCTGAACATGCACATATACTTACAGCAATATACATAATTTCATTGTAGTTTGACAATTAAAGGTCTACAAAAAGACTGTTTATTAATTAAATGTACATGTATATTATAGAAACTTACTAAGCAGATATATACTTTAACATGCTGAACATGCACATATACTTACAGTGTACATGTACTTTGACAAAGAAAATGTAGTTAAAATATATCTCGTATAGGAATTTTTCCCCCTCTAATTGATATTTTTACTTTACAAATGTCAAACTTATAGCACTATTCACTGTTATTTGATAACATACCAGTATTATGATATTGTTGTTCAAGAATCTATTAACTGAGATTGGTGTATTAATTATGTATAGTTTTGAAGTCCACAATTGTTTAATATACCATAAAAAGATCAAATTTATATGAATTTCTCCTTTACAGATTCTCTGAAGCATAGAGCAGGGGTGAGAGAGGCACTGGCACATGACCCTAATTGGCTTGCTCAGTACATCAGTAAGATAATGCCTATGTTGGATCGTCAAGATAATGTACTGCTGAAACTGACCAGCAAGGGCAGCCTAGTACAGGCAGACAGTGGAGGTAAGACATGACCTGTAAGTGTATAGCCTAGTATATACAGACAGTGAAGGTAAGACACTGACCAGCAGTTAGCGGAGTGAAATATTTGGAGATAACGAACGGTATTTCAGCTCGCAAGTCCATTAAACAAAACAGATTGGTAGGAGACCATATAGGGACCTCTAAAACATCTGAGGTGGGATCAGGAACCATGGAGGTAACACAATAACCAGCAAGGGTTGTCTTGTGCATAATAAGTTTAGTCTGATGCAGACAGAAAGTACATGCTGTTAAATATTGACCAGCAAAAGTCTGTTTCAGATAGAGAGTGGAGGTAACATGTAAATACAATGAATTCAAGCAAATATCAAACATTTTAATCATGATTTTTTTTTAAATCCAAGAATGATTGATATTTAGGACGATTCTCAGGACTCAGGTAAGCTTGGACTTTCAGTAAGGCATGCCATTCTCGGCACTACATAATTAGCATCTGTCAATTGAATGAATAGATTCTCAATGGTTAAAAAATTAATAACATTAAGAACTTTAAATTGTTGTTGACAATGATGAGACAGCTTAAGCTCCACCTCTTTGTCGGATGAGACAATGTTGGTTATTCGGTATACTCAGCGAAATTTGCCCGATTTTTTATCCCATGTATTTTTCAACAGTGAATGAAAGCTGTTTTAATTTCAGATGCTAATTATGTAACGAGTGCCACGCCTTACTGAAAGTTCAAGCTTATCTGAGAATCGTCCTACTTGAAAGAAGTTTTACATAAGCAATAAATTAATTTAGAAAAAAAAATGGAAAGTTTACCAAGATTGCAAATTTGGCATAAGGAATCTTGAGTGTCAAGATCACTAAAATAAAAAAAAAAATCATTCTGTATCAAAGGTAATGTTGGGTGGTTATCTTTGCTAGGTATAATAAATCACTAAAATTGCATTCAGTTGAGAACTTTTACCTTTTTATTTTTGGACAAATAGCTTCACTTACACAGTTTCCTATTTCACTGAGTAATTATCATTAGCTAATTAGGGCATGACATGTGATTATCTATGTACTCCAGGTGTGTATGAACTTTGCTGCACTGAAAAACCTTTGAAGGATCTCCCCAAGGAAAAAGGAGATGCACAGTTACTTGGAACCTTTTCCTCTCTCATAGGATCTCTCAGTTCATGTATGTATTGTAAAAATATAAAATGGAGGATATGCATCTTTTTAGAATGGACTTTTTAGCACACCTGAGTCGGAGGCTCAAGTGAGCTTTTCTGATCACATTTGTCTGTCGTCCGTCTGTCTGTCTGTCCATCTGTCCATCTGTAAACTTTTTACATTTTTGACTTCTTCTCACGAACCAATGGGCCAATTTTAACCAAACTTAGTACAAAGTATCCTTGGGGGCAGGGGAGTTGAAATTATTGAAATGAAAGACCAAGTCTCACCACAGGGGGAGATATTCAAGAAAAGACAAAAAATAGGATGGGGTCATAAAAAAATATTCTTTTTAAGAACAACTAGGCCAGAAAAACAGAAACTTATGTGAAAGCATTTTTAGGTAGGGGAGATTCTAAATTGTAAAAATCACAACCCCCAGGGGTAGGACGGGGCTACAATAGGGAATCCAAGTTTTACATTGAAGTGTATAGGAAAAATCTTTAAAAATCTTCTGTTCAAAAACCACTGGGCCAGAAAAGCTGAAACTTATGTGGAAGCATCCTGAGGTAGTATAGATCCTAAATTGTTCAAATCATGACCCCTGTGGGTAGGAGGGGGCCACATTTGGTAATACAAGGTATTACAAGGTAAAGAACATCATGGTTAACGCTTCTCAGGTGAGCCATGTGGCCTCTTGTTTTGTTTCCTTAAAATCTTACCTTAAAGAGATGGAGATGAGCTACTTGTTAATCTTGAGTTTAAGGTTTTATTTCTACCTGTTTAAATTATGGATTAGGCATCTTAAAAGGGATGTTTACAGTATTAGCCTAGGAGTTTCACGTCAGATACTCTTTACATCCATTCTATATATTCTTGATGCATGGCCAGCCTATAATTTTGAGAAATATTGTAAAAGCAGAAAATTTTTTGGGATTAAATTTCGTTAATTTCATTGTTTACAATTTATCCACAAAATTTAATGCCCATGAAACCGTTTAGCTAGAACATGTATATCATTGAAATTTGATCCCCATAAAAATTTGTGTTTCTACAGTATCCTTTCCCAGGTTAATCTACTGCAGTCTGTGTTCAGGTGCTATAAGTTCCAGATATTCAACTAGAACAATGGCATCCTTTGGAAAATTCTTTGTCTTGTAATGATTTACTACTCCAGTTTGGGAATTGTTTACTCTCTGCACTAAGTAGATTTCTGTTCCCTTTAATGTTCAGTTACCATTAATTCTGTTTACATTGTAAGGTCATGTGCATTTGTTTTAAATACCATGTAAGCAGAAATTTTAGTAAGGAATCAATTTGGCATATTTAGCAAGGGTTTAAGGTCTCTAAAATGAATATTGGGGTTACCATAATGATTGTATTTCTAATTTTCATTAAAATCACTTTCTTCTAAAATTGTTTGTTGATTTTTCAGGAAAAATCACTTTATTTGCATCTCGCTAAAATATCCACTTATATGGACATTAATTTTTCAATGTATTAAAATGAGGTTGTGAATCTTTTGTAGCATACCAGTTGTGGCATCACAAATCTATTGATGACATTGTTACCAGTGCAGCAGGAGGCTCTTGTGAGTCCTTTATTTTAATTTTACAATTTGGTGATGTAGTTTTAGTATTTCATGATATAATTTTAGCATCCCATCTCAAACAGTGATATCTAAACTATCAACCAATTGATAAGTTGAATCAGTTTGCAAGATCCTGTCACTTTCTTTGCTTTACTCTCAATATCTCAAACTACATATTGGAAGTTTTTCATCTGTGATAATGAGGTTTCACTGTATTTGACAATTTGGTAGAAAACATTCACAATATTATATTTTAGTACTTGACAATACACATTTTTTCATAGCTGTATGTTTAATATCATTTTTTTTATGTGCTTGAATAATGTTTAATTGTATATATATCTAACAAATATTTTTTCTCTTATTATTTAACAGATGGATCTTACTGTACTAGAAGTCGCCTTCTGCTTCCCACTGCTTGGTCCCCAATGAAGTAAACAAAAAAAAAATGCTGCATTTTTGGAGGATTGAAATATATAAATTTTGGGAGAAATAATTTGGGAAGACCAAAAAATGTCAGTTAAGTTAAGATGCTGTGGGAAAATTGTGGATAAAATTGTCTATATTATCTTTGTTACTACTCTTGTGTATGCTAGTCAGATTTATTTTATAAGTGTGTAATATGTACATTTAACCATTTATCTGTTATTAAGTGCTATAACTGTCAGTCAGAATTGAATCAGATTTTAGTAATATTTAAAACTTTTTACCTCTACATTTGTTGATCCATTTGACTTTACGTTTCACAGGATTGTGTTGAAGCAAATATTACATACCATGAACCTAGTGGTATTTCATTCAGATTTCCTTTTTTATGTTTTTCTTCTGATGCATTTACATGATTCTTAGCAGAGGCCTTTTTAATAACTTTTTCTTTATACATGTATTTACCACTTTAAATTATAGTCTAAGATAATGTGTTCAGTATTAAGTATTTATCAAAAGCCTTTGGTTGTTAGGTATGTTTATTTAGGATCATACATGTACAATTTGGTGCTAATTTTAGTTATTGATGTTAAAGAACATACATGATTAGACATTGTAACAGTAAATAAATATATCAAAATAAAAAGTTTTAATTTAGTTTTTTTTAAAAGAAAGCAGCCAAAATGTTGATATCTCTACCAACAATATACCCCAACCCTCAGTTCTTCTAATAAAGATGCATATTTTGTAGGTTTTTAGATACAACATAAATAGGGGATTCAAACTGATGTAATGTAAATATCAATTTACTTTGCTCGATTTGTCTTAGAAAGTATGACTAGATTCTCAACCACAATTTTTGTTGCAAGTTAACTTGTGAATTACGTATTGCATAGCATATAGTCAAGTTTTCATGACTGCCACAGCCATTACCTGGAACATAAATGAAAAGTAGTTGCAATAATTCTAAAAATTGTTTTAACATGATTACTAAATGCATATGTTCTAAAGGAAAAACCTTCCTCCCTGAATCTTTTTAACTCAGGGAAAGAATGTGTGCCTTTTCGTTCACTAATTTCAAAACATTTACTAATACATGTAAATTAATCTGGAAATGCAAGGTTGGGATCATTTTGTTATAACTTGATGGACATCTATCCTTTTATACAAAAATTATATTCAGATGGTAGGTTCAAATTGTAATTATCTTGTACCTAAAGTATGACTTGTGGTAATTATATTATGGCCCTTCTGTTCTCATTAGCAGAATGATTCCCCCTTTATTTTCCTCTAGAAAAACTGGATTACATATTGTGGCCCTTCCCTATCACTTAGGGTCATGTTTAAATGAACATGTACCTGTACTACCTATGGATATATAAATGTGATAAATCATGACTTTGCTGTTCTTTAAAGATTTTTAGCTCTTTTGAGCTGAAAGCACAAGTGAATTTTCCTGATTTATTATTATACCTGTTATCAATCCATCATTCTAAACTTTCAATATTTTCAAGTTTTCTCAAGAACTACCATGCCAATTTTAACCAAAGTTGGTACAAAGAATCCTTGGGTGAAGAGGAACAAATTGTTGAGAAGAAAGGCCATTCCTCATTCCAAAGGGAGTAATCAAGGAAAGAAAAATAAGGATTATGTCTTTGAAGAACCACTAAGCCAGACAAGATGAAACATGTGAAAGCTTCTGCTCTTCCTCATAGGTCATAATTTAAACAATTTAGACATTAATTACTGTGGGATCATCAAAGTTTGTGAAGGCAAATTTTCATGGATTACTTAAATTTTACATTTTTACGGGGACATAATTTCATGAATTCACTCAAAAGAAACATAAATTTGACGCCTTTGTGATTCATGGAAGATGTAAATTCATAGATGAAAGGAATATATACTCAAGAATTTCACAAATATTATGCCACCACAAAGTTTATGATTCCACAATAAGTCAGAAAGCTTGACCAGGTTTTATCTTTCCTGACCTAGGGGTTCTTTTCCAGAAAGAGGATGCAACCTTTGAACAAATTTGTTTCCTTTTCACCAAGATTAATCTTTGCCAAATTTATTTAAGAAGAGGCCCACGGGCCTTGGGCCTTATAGGTCACCTGAGTAACATGTAACAACTTTCCAACAACTGAATTTGGTTTGTCTTTTTTAAACCAAAAGCCTTGAAATTCATAATTTTGAAAGAGGCACCATTGTTTATCATAACTATACACTTAGCATGCTTATTTTGGTAAAGGCAGATCCGATTAATAGAGAAAAAATGCATTTCCACTTTATAACCACCAGTTGTGCACACCAACTCAGAGGAACCACTGACCCTGGGGCCACATATTTCAAAATTTTGGAAACTTTATAAATTTCATTTCATAAGAAATGGGTGATTAATATCAAAGAGAAGATTTCAAATTATTACTTTATTTTCAGACTATGTAACCCCCCCCCTCCCCCCGTGTCTGCAATACCCCTAACTCAGGGGCCCTGAAATTAACCATTTTGTAAGAGGCATCTTTCTTCATCATATTTAATATATACTTAGATCATTGGCATTATACCAAGGAGCAAAGGAAAATATTTCCAAAGAATTCATGCGTTTTCACTATATAATCAACAGAGCCCCGCCCTAACACCAGAACCCCTGACCCTGGGGCCATGAAATTCATAATTTTGGAAGAGGCAGACCTATTCAATATAACCATGTACTTGGTAAGTCTATTTCATACCCAGGAGAAGAGAAGATTTTTTAAAGAATTAATGTATTTTCACTATATAAACAATTAAAGATCCCCGCCTTAACACCAGAACCCCTCACCCATGGGCTATGAAATTCACAATTTTAGATGAGGCATTCTCGGTCATCATAACTATGTACTTAGTTTGTTTGTTTAATACCCTGGGGCAGAGAAGAAGATTTTCAAAGAACTAATGCATTTTCACTACATAACCAATAGAACCCCTGACCCAGGGGCCATGAAATTCACAAATTGGGAAGAAGCATCCTTCCTTATCATAACTATGTACATAGTTCTTTTGTTAGATATCCAATTGCAGAGGAGAAGATTTTTAAAGAATTTATGCATTTTCACTATATAATCAATAGAACCCCGCCCTAACACCAGAACCCCTGACCCTGGGGCCATGAAATTCACAATTTTGGAAGAGGCAATCTTATTCAATATAACTATGTATTTGGTTAGCTTTTTTAATGCCCAGGAGCAGAGAAGATTTTCGAAGTAACAATGCATTTTCACTATACAGTCTATTTAGCCCCGCCCTAGCACCAGCACCCCTAACCCTGGGGCCATGAATTTCACAATTTTGGTAGAGGACTCAATGTTGATTACAATCATGCCAACAGTTTGACAGCTTGATGTCTAGGAGCACAGAAGAAGATTTTTAAAGATTGCACTAATTTTAGTGGTTTTGGCCCCACCCCTCAGGCCCCAGGGGGTCAGGGACCATGAAATTCATAATTTATGTTCCCCTTCACCCACAGATGCTTTGTGTCAAAATTGGTTGAAATTGGTTGAGCGGTTTCAGAGAAGAAGCTGAAAATGTTCAAATGTTAACGCATGGCGCACGATGGACGCCGCCAGACAACGGATAGCAATAGGTCACCTGAGTTTACTCAGGTGACCTAAAAATGGTCTAGTAGTTCAATTTTTTTCCTGTTCACCAGCCTTGTTAGAACTTACTTACATTTAACCACAACAAAGCTGGTAAACTTGTGTATACGAGGTATTGGACTCGTCTGTTTAATGGGGAAAGAATGTAGCGAGCTATAGGGACTAGATTTTGGCCTGGGTAGCTCACTTGGAGCACTTGTCTAGATATTCAGGGGGTCGGAGTTCAAATCATGGTCTGGCCTCTCACATTTCTTTCTTTTTCTGTTACATTTGATGCACTGACCATTTTCTGGCTGCAACAAGTGGAACAAGAGGCCCATGGGCCACATCGCTCACCTAAGAAGCTTTGACCATTCTGTTCTTTACCAGATTTCCCCCTTGTAATACATTATAATGCATCCCCACCCTACCCACTGATCATAATTAAGACGTTTTGAAATCTACACTACCCCAGGATCCTTCCATGTGCACATAAGTTTCAGCTTTTCTGGCCCAGTGGTTCTTGAGAAGAAGATTTTCAAAGATTTTTCCTGTATATTTCTATGTAAAATTTTGATTCCCCATTGTGGCCCCGCCCTTCCCCGGGGGGGTCATGATTTGAACAATCTAGAATCTACACTATACCAGGATACTTCCATATAAGCTTCAGCTTTTCTGGCTCAGTGGTTCTTGAGAAGAAGATTTTCAAAGATTTTTCCTATATATTTCTATGTAAAACTTTGATTCCCCATTGTGGACCCGCCCTTCCCCCGCGGGTCATGATTTGAACAATTTAGAATCTACACTACCCCAGAATGCTTCCACATAATTTTCAACTTTTCTGGCCCAGTGGTTCTTGAGAAGATTTTCAGAGATTTTTCCTATATATTTCTATGTAAAACTTTGATTCCCCATTGTGGCCCCGCCCTTCCCCCCTGAGTCATGATTTGAACAATTTAGAATCTACACTATACCAGGATGCTTCCACATAAGTTTCAGTTTTTCTGGCCCAGTGGTTCCTGAGAAGAGGATTTTCAAAGATTTTTCCTATATATTTCTATGTAAAATTTTGATTCCCCATTGTGGCCCCGCCCTTCCCCGGGGGGTCGTGACTTGAACAATCTAGAATCTGCACTACCCAAGAATGCTTCCACATAAGTTTCAACTTTTCTGGCTCAGTGGTTCTTGAGAAGAAGATTTTCAAAGATTTTTCCTATATATTTCTATGTAAAACTTTGATTCCCCATTGTGGCCCCGCCCTTCCCCGGGGGGTCATGACTTGAACAATCTAGAATCTACACTACCCAAGAATGCTTCCACATAAGTTTCAACTTTTCTGGCTCAGTGGTTCTTGAGAAGAAGATTTTCAAAGATTTTTCCTATATATTTCTATGTAAAACTTTGATTCCCCATTGTGGCCCCGCCCTTCCCCCGGGGGTCATGATTTTTACAATTTAGAATCTAAACTATCCTAGAATGCTTCCACATAATTTTTAACTTTTCTGGCCCAGTGGTTCTTGAGAAGATTTTTTAATGACCCCACCCTATTTTTGTCTTTTCTTGATTATCTCCCCTTGCGAGGAGACTTGGCCCTTTATTTTAACAATTTAAATTTCCCTTTACCCAAGAATGCTTTGTACCAAGTTTGGTCAAAATTGGCCCAGTGGTTCTTGAGAAGAAGTCGAAAATGTGAAAAGTTTACAGACGGACGGACAGACAGACGAACGGACGGATGACGGACAAAATGTGATCAGAAAAGCTCACTTGAGCCTTCGGCTCAGGTGAGCTAAAAATTCCTTGGGAAAACCTGTGTTGGTTTCATGGGAAAATGGAAATGGCAGTCGGGCAGGTTCGATTGCCTGATAACTCAGTTTGTGCTGAACCTGACTTGTGGTTTAGGGGAAATAGGTTCAAATCCTGGTGTGGTCAGTCATCTTTTCAAATTTTTGGTAGTATAGAGCAGTCATTGGCAAGATTAACTTAAAAACCAAACTGCCAAAAATACCATTCAGATGCATATGAAAATGAAAACCTCTTTTTGATACAAATAGAATCAATTAATATAAATATACGGCAAGTAATCCAAGACTTCACTTTTTTGATACAAATGATCCTGTTACAAAATTAAGTTTCTGATACACTTCAACATTGACTAGGGATGAATTTCACTCTAACTTGCACTGCAATACTTATAATTAAATTTAAAGAAAAATATTTTCCTTTAGAATATTCTTTAATAACAAAATTCGCTGCCATTAACAGATGAAAATTATAACAACTTAAATGACTAGAAGATAACCCTGCAGAATGGCTTGATTTAAAATGAGACATGTGTACTAATCAATCAAGTTTCATTAAAAAAATTAAAAAAGAAACATTTTTACAACTTGAAGAAATGGTATATAGCACTGAAGTGCAATAAAAAATAACATTTGCTCTAAACAAACATTGATTAAAAAAAAACAAGACTATCTTTCTTGTCAACCTAAAATATATCTCAAAATATAAAACAGACAATCAAAAAAGGCTTTTCTACTAAAATGCACATGTCCTTTCTTGTCTTATATCTATGCTTTATCCTCTTTGCCTCCAATTGTGTTCTTATTTTGATGGGACCATCTAAATCAATGCTTAGCTAAGATCACAAATCACACAAAAAAAATGTTGTTAAAAGATTCATATCTGAATGTTTATGACATTTGTCATTTTTTACTTGTTTTACTAAGCAATTTTTAAATTTCTTAAAGCCATCAATTAAAAAATTTGTTCCCCACAAATTTCCAATATTTCTAGAAGAAACATTCTTTCTTTTAAAATTTTCCATTTCTGAACAAATTTTAGTAGGAAAGGCATATTAAGCTCAGGGTGGAGTTTAAAACCAATAAATCAAACAAGATACCTGTAATATGCATGACTTTGCATTGTAAAAAAATTACTTGTGGCTAAAAATAGACTGCTAATTGCCATAAAACTTTTTAAAAAGGAAATACAAAACACACTGTCTACAGAGTTGTAAAAATATTCAACTTCAATTGAAAGTGTTCATAACAATTCTATATGATTACATATAGATATAATACATAAACAACAATCAAAAAAAAAAATCCAGAGGGAAGCATTATTTGCATGTACAAGTATTTGTATATCAATGTTTGATACTCGGTTACAAATGTTTCTACCATCCTGCACCTTTAAAACATCCACTATTCTGTATACTCCTGAACATCTCTTTGAATTTCTGAACAGATTGACTCCCATTCCATCTGAACGTCTTTATTTGTTGATTCATTATCAGTAGATCGGTTATCCACTTCTGGAGAGATACCCTGTTCTGGGTTTGACAGCATAATCAGACTTTGGGCAGCATCAAGAGTATCATTTGCCGTCTGACAAGGGTGAATCCAGGACATAGTCTGATGCCCTCCATACACAGATGCAGACAAAGGACATAAACTGTTCCCGTTGCTTAATGGCTCTTGTGTTATTGCTCTGGTAGGCTGCAAACAAGATCTGTCTTGTTTGCTCCAAGTGTAAGAATTGGAATTGCTTTGAGAAAAGTCCCCTGCTGTAAATTGGTTATTCTGGAGATGATTTCCATTTTCCATCTCGTGACTGGAGAAGATGCCTATTGGACCTTTCTCCATGAAACCAAGGTCTTTTGCACTTGAAATGCAAGATAATTCCTGGTACGTTTTGGTATATTCTTGTGTTGATCTGATTAATGGATCAACTGTACTTGAAACACTGCAGATTTGCATTCCAGATTCATTGCTTAGCAATCCCAAGTATGAAGAATATGTAGGATCATCATCCAAATTTCTTTGCTCAATAACATCAAATGCTGCTGAAAACCACCCTGACATTGCAGAATTTGAATTACTCTCTAGCCTGGCTTTACCGTACATTACTGGTTCCATGGTAACATTATTTGAAACATAGGAATCGTTCCATCCATGGTTCATTTCAGACAATTCACTTGATTCACTTGATATGCTTGTCTCACTGTCCCTTCGTTCTGATGACCTTGAGCTATCACTGATGGCTAAGGGATGACCTGCATCTTCCAGGAAATTCTCACAGTGGCTTGTGATGCTGTACTCCTTGACAATTTCTATCTCCTCGTAGCAAGTGCTCGAGTTAGACTCTTCCTTTAGGCAGGATTGAATTTCTGCAAGTTCTGGATCTTTGTATAGGAAGTGCCTAACAATGCCATTTTCTCCACTAGTGTAGTCTATTTTGTGAATAAGCTCTAATAAATCTGCATTTTCATCAAAGAAAGTGTTTTCCATCTCCATGAATTTCACTTTTTTTCTTGACCTAGATTGTGAAGTTTTGTCATACGCTGTAAGGTCATGGTTTGAAGTCTCACTTGGGCAAATGGCTGGTTTTGAATTTCCATCTTTCACTGAAAGTAAAAATCAATAACGAGGGTCACTTACATATATCTACATCTACTGAATATTTTTTCCTTTATTTCTTATAAAAACCATTGCAATTAATCAGTGCATAAACTTTACAAAGCAAGTAAAGTTTTCTTGAATGGCTGTTCCATGTATACAATGACATAGTCCTCTATGAGGTATAATACAATATTTAACATATTCAATTTTTATGCGCCCGGATCGATAGATCTGTATCGTATATTGTTTTTGTCCTGTCTGTTTGTCTGTTGTCAACTTTAACCTTCGCCATAACTTTTGCACCATGAGAGATGGAGACTTCAAATTTGGTATAAATACTCCACTTATTAAGTTCTTCAAATGACACCAAGGTCATGACCTTGTGACCTTGACTGTGACCTATATGCTAAAAATACCTTTTTCAAACTTTTCCCATAGTTTTTAAACCATAGAAGAAAGAGACTTATGTTTGGTATGCATACTTCATTAATTAAGCTTTTTCAAATGGCACTAAAGTTGATGACTTATGACCTAGTAACTGTGACCTATATGCTACAAATAGCTTATTCGAACTTTAACCATAACTTTTGAACCATAGGAAATAGAGACTTCATATTTGGAGTATGCATACTACACTAGTTAAGTCCTTTCAAATGACACCAAGGTCTAGTGACCTTGTGACCTTGACTGACCTATATGCTAAAAATAGTTCTTTCGAACTTTGTTGCCCCGGGTGCATAATCTTTCAAAACAAATTTTGTACTTACTAGAATGTTTTTCATATAGATGTAAATAATAAAATGTCTTTTAGCATTGGAATAAGTGTTGCAGCAATTGCAGTAAAAAATTACATAACCCCAGGTTTTGTATTTTTTCTGCAACAGCTGTGACATTAATTTCCATACTTACAACCAAAGAAAGCATTTTATTATTTAAGTAAATACATCTTTAATTGCAACAAAATAAATATATTTCAATAATATTGACAGTTTGACACCTAACTTCACAAAATATTTAAAATAAGAGGCCTGTGGGCCACAAGTCTCACATGAGGACTTTGGCTAAGAATGAACAGAAATCATAGCTTTGCTAATCTTGAATATTCTATTGAAAAAGATGAACATCCATTGTGGCCCCTTCCTATCCCAAGGGGTCATGATTTTAACAAACTTCCTACACTACCTAAGGATGCTTCCATATAAATTTAACTAATCATACTTGAGATGTTCTTGAAAAAAAATATTTTTCTACAAATTCCTATATAAAACTTTGATTACCAAGTGTTTTCCCTCCCTACCTGATGGGTTCTTAACTAGAATCTACACTACAAAAATGACCAATGATGGGAATCATGGTTTTGCTGTTCTTGAAAAGATTTTTTTGCAAAATTTTGCCTATATAATCCTATATTAAATTTTGATTATCCATTGTGGCTCCCCCCTACCCACTGGGGTTATGATTTGAACAAATTTGAATCTACATACCTGAGAATGCTTCCAAACAAATATGACCAATCAAAGGCTTTGCTGAAGACATTGCAATTCTACTCTACCTCTGAGGTCATGTACAGTAAAACTCGGTTATAACGAAGTCCCTGGGACCTATGAAATTACTTTGCTATATCCATAATTCGTTATATCTGTATAAGAATTTTTAAAAATTTATATAGCTGAGGATCCACAATAACTTCGCTATATCTGTGAATTCGCAATATCCGTGTTCGTACTAACTGAGTTTTTACTGTATTTGAAGAAATATGAATGTACACTACAACTACACTGTACCTGAGGATGCTTCCTTGCATTTATGGCTCAGAGTTTGTTTGAGAAGATTTGAAAAAGATGTCATTAATATTCAAAATTTATAACTATCTCCCCTTTGAAGGTGTGGTCATTCATTTGATCAAACCCAAAGCCACTTTACGAGAGAATACTGTAGAATTACTTTTTTCCGCGCGGTATTAATTTACGCTATGTACTCGGTCACAAATATTCCGCGGAAATTTGTCCAAGCATATTTAATATAAATGTAAGGCATATAGTGACAATCTAGAAAATCCGCGTAATTTTCTTTCCACGGATTAAACAGAAATTGAGACTCCGCGGAATTATGACCCCGTGGAAAAAAGTACGTCTACAGTACTTTGTGGCAAGTTTGGTAGAAATTGGCCTTGTTCTTCTACATCAGAATTCAAAAATGTGTACATTTTACAGATAAACAGACAGACACCTGACAAAATGTGATCAGAAAAGCTCACTAAAGCTTTTGGTTCAGGTGAGATAAAAAGGTCATATTTCAAAAGTTTTGAAGCACTTACAAGCTTTCCCTCTGATGGAAGATGTTCCCCTGGATAACTTTTTCATTTCTTTGACGAGACATTTTATGAGGTCTTTGTGTGAACGAGATTCAAAGTGTTTCCTTAGGTGGAAAGGATAGTTATATTCCTTCTGGCAAGTAACACATTTATGTACCTCTGTAGCATGGAAACCATAGAAATGTCTCTGCTTTGCTTCCTAAACAATGTATAGTGTATAAAAATCACCATATCATACATTATTATTACATCTGTAATGGGAGAGGAGTAAAACAGCAGTTGACCAGGCCCGGATTCAAACCCTGACCCCCTGCATTTCCTTTTATTTTGTTGATAAATATTTTTCATTGAATTCAATTAAATGAAATTTTTTATTTGACTATTAAAATATAGAATATAGTTACTTTTGAAACAACAAAATTAAATACTCACAAAACCTTTCAACGTAACAAATAAACAAAATTTTCACCCAATGAAAATTTGTGCTCTTACAGTTATCTTTATATAGCTATGCTTACCTTGGAGTCCAGTACTTTGTCACAACGTGAACACTTGTGATCATCTTTGATATGCTTCTCAATTTGTGAGGCTTTCTTGAATCTTTTCTGGCAGAATGCACAAGGAAAGGGTTTCTGAGGTATATTCTTGGTCAGCTCTTTTATGTTTTTGCTGTTTTGTTGAGCTTTAAACGTTTTCAAACTTGTGTTTCTAAGACCTTGGTGAATCCTAATAACTGGTTTCACAGGTAATTTTCTCGGTTGTGTCTTAGTTGCTACTTTATCTTCCTTCTCCAGAGGACTTGCTCCTTTCTGTGATTTCAAAACTTTCTCACCAGTGCTCGTCTTCTCTTTTTTGGTGGTTTTCTTTTGATCACTTCTTGTAGAAGACTGGTTCTGTTTCACAATACCATGCTTCTTTTTTTCCGAGACACCTTTCTTAGCAGGACTGGCTTTTGTACCTTTCTTTTGCAACTTTAAAGCTGATGAGTGTGAGATGTCTTTCACTGTCTTTCCACTTTTCTTCCTGTTCACAGGGAAAAGTTCCTTTTTCACCCTTGTAGTTTTCTGAACTATACAGACTTTTTTTGACTTCCTGGTGGTAACCATTTTAGAATTCTTAGTTATTGACACCGCAATTTCTTGCAAGCAATTCTGGATCATCACTTTGGGAGATTGAGATCTAGACTTTTTAACACCTGACCGCTCCTGAGATGAGTTCCCCCTTTCATCTTTTTTTCTCTTTTTTACAACTCCATTTCTCATTCTGATCTTGTGTCCAGTTTTTGAGGCATTTTGATCAAAGTCATCGTTTAAAGATAAATCTGAATCATCCTTTTCTTTCTCACTGCTGACAGAATCTTTACATCTAACTGGAGTCAATATTCCTTCACTGCATCTGTACTTTCTGCCTTCAAACTTAACCAAGAATAATCCCTTTTTGACATCTGAGGGCTTCCTCTTACTGTTCTCTTGGTGGTTATTTTCTTTTTCACATTCTGCTGTTTGTTCTTCTTGAAAACTTAGTTGAGTGTTGTCCTTATCAGCCTCTTTTCTTGAGTTTCTTTTCTCAGTGCTTTTCAGATAGTTATGTTTTCTGGGTTTTGAAACAGCTATGGAAGCTTGAATAGACCTATTCTTATTAGTTGCCCTATTTGAACTCCTTGTTACCATTCTGACAATTTCTGAGTTGTCCTTATGGCGAGTTTTTTCCTCATATGTATCATCATGAGTTGAGCAGGGATGTGGCATTTCCTTTCCATGTGACTTTTCTGAGAGAGATATTCCAGATCTTTCAGCATAATTGCATGACTCACTCTCCACATAAAACTCTTCAAGAGAATTTGGCAATGCGTAGTCTTGCACCCTTAGAGATGTTGCAACTCTTCTAAGTCTTCTGACTTGTCTTGTGGAAAAGGTATCATCTTTCAGAAAAGCTGATGACTCCTTTAAAAGCTGAACAGTTGAATTGGGTAACTTTTTAGCATTAGCTGGACATGATGATTCTTTACTGTCCACTGTTAAATCTTCAGTAGTACAGGGTTGCTGCTGCTCAAACTTACTGAACACATTTTGGGTACCTGAAGCTACATCAGATGAGGCTGACTTGAGAAGGGTTGCTGAGATGTCTGTATGATTGCTTGTATTATTCTCTGACTCACAGACATTAGGGATTGTCATTGCATGTGATAAATTTTCAACATTCATAGAAGTTGTATTCCTTTGGTCAATATCAGTAGCTGGATCTTTGCTAGAATTGTTTGGTTGAGGAAACTGTCTTCCTGGCTCAGAGGTCTCCTTTTCTTGTACTAAAGAATCCAGAATTGTATCATGAAATTCCAAAGAACTTTTATCATAGTTGAATGATGTTTCAATTTGTTGGGGATAAGGAATGACTTCTGGTGAAGAAATACATGTTTTTGAGTTCAATGACAATGGGATGTCTTTTTCTGACTCAGAAATCATGTTCTCTTGTGATGCAGAATTCAAAGTTTTGTCAGAAAATTTCGACGAATTCCACATATTCACATCAGGTTGATTTCTGTGTTCCTTTGTAGAAATGGCCATGCTAGAATTGATGAACTGAGGAGGCTCTTTTCTTGGTTCAGAATTCACCTTATCTTGAGATAAAGAATCCAGAAAAATGTCAGGAAATTCTAATGCATCCTCATTTCTTTGCAGAAATAAATCAGGAAATGATAGGTCAAAAATATTCAAGTCTTCT